CAGGCAATCCACTCACCTCAGCCTCCCAAAGGCGCGGGATGACAGGCTGAGCCACCGAGCCCGGCTCGATGTGTACGTTCTTGAAAATGTGTTCCTAAAAGTGGAGGCAAGTAGCCCATCAGGCCTGAGAAAAGAGGCTGTGGGTTTGGCAGGCGTCTAGGACCCTGGGCGACCGCTCCCTGATGGCCTCGGGCGAGCCAGCCAGGGCCCAGGGCTTCACCCAGGAGTGTGTCCTCTCCATTCTGATGGCTACCTTGAGATGGACGGGACCCCCAGCCCCTCTACCCCAGGGTGGGGTGGGGGGCTGCTCATCGCAGGGTCAGCACTGTCTTCAGGCGCGGGCCGGTGCCGGGTGCCGCAGGGGCCCTCAGTGTTGGCCTGAGCCCCAGCTCTCCCCTCCCTGGGCTGTGCGGCCTTGAGCGAGCTCTTGAGCCCTTCAAGTCTGTCTCTTTCTGCACAGAATGTGGGTCACAGCGGTTCCCTCCTCAGAGGGCTAAGTAGGCTCTCTTCCGTGAAGTGTCTGGCATGCTAGTCAACACGTAAAGACCCTCGAAAACAGTGGCTGTTGTTGTGAGAACTGTTACCGTAATTTGAGAGAGAATTTAGGGGCTGTCCTGAGACCCCGTTTCAGGGGCCACCTAGCCAGTCTCCTTTTCTGTCCTAACACCTTCTCATTCCAAACACAGCGGCCCAAGCTGGGGGCACAGAGGAAGACACACCCCTACTTTGACCACTCTGCCTGGTCCAGTAAGCAGCTGCTGAGAGCAGTGAGGCCCACACTGGCATGCGCACGGATCTTTTGGCAGAAACATAGCCCCACAGTGTGAAGTATTGTGCTCTGCGGAGTGCTCAGCCTGGAGCCCTCAGTGAACCAAAGCCCCCGCATGCTCTCTCCAAAGGGGACAGACTGCTCTCTCCTTGTGGCCCCTTGCCTGACGGTGGCAGGCTGGGGAAGGGACACCAAGGGCTGACACTGGTTGACAGCTTGCTGCACGGGTGCACAGGTGCGGGCTCCACCCTTAGCAGTGGCTCAGGACCCGCAACTGCCGTGGAGACAAAAGCAGGGGTAGCATCCCTATGGCTTAGTCGAGGAAGCAGCAGCGAGGGAAGGTGACGTGTCCAAGGACACAGCTGGGTGACGGTGAAACTGGACTCGGCCCTCAGCTGAGGCCACTGGAGCCATCTGTGCCTCCGGCCTGATGCTTTCTAATGCCCACGGTGTGGCTTTTAGAAGCTTTGCTGGATTTTATGAAATCCATTTAGAGAGGTAATATTAGCTTCATTTTTCATACGAAAGAACAGAAACGGATTTGGGCCTCAGGTTGCTGCCCTCAGAGGCCCGGCCAGGATTCAGAGTGAGGTCCTTACGTTCTGCGGCTCATGGTCCCCCTGGCCCCACCGCTGCCCCTCTCTCCACCACCCCAGGCCTGCGTCCTGTGTCCAGGCCGGCTTCAGGGGCCAGTGATTTGCATAGTCGCCCAAAGCCCCACGCTCAGAGGGCCCTGGCTTGGCTTCAGGTTCTGTCGCTGTCTTAGACTGCTTTACACTTCGTTCTGGACAAGGTGCCCTGCGTTTTCGTCTTTTACTGAGCCCTGCCGATGGCGAGGCATCCCGCCTCTACTCAGTCAGGAAGTGCCCGGCAGTGTCTGCTTGAGGATCACAACCTCCAACCCTGGCCCTCTCTGCCTTCCTGACCTCCTGGTTCAGACTCCGCGCCCCTCTGCTCTCAAGGCCTGGCCGCTGACTCCTTTCGGCTCTCCTGTCTCTCCTACCCCCTGTGGCTTGCCTGACCCTCCGCCGTGTGTCTTTGCGCATTCCTGCCTGACTGCCTCATCTCCAGGCCCTGCTTATCCCGCCCCTGGGTTCCTGCATTCCTGCCTTGCCTTGGCCCTGACCCTCCTGTCCTGTGACAATTGTCCACAGCCTCCATCAACAAACCCAGCCACAGAGCTGTGTAAACAGAATCTAAAGTGTTGCTGTTTGGGCAACTCTGCAAGGAAAGAATAAGAAATTGTTAGAATTCCAAGAATGTAGCACGTTCAGAGATTATTCAGAATATTCCTCCTGAAGCAGTATCACTGCGCTGAGGAATAAAGTGTGGCTTCACTCCAGGAAGACCCACTGCTGAGAAAGGAAGGGATTTGGGTGTGAATTCCAGGTAGAAAAAGGGCTTATTTCTTCTTTTATCATGAGGTGGTTTTCTTTGAATTTCTTCGAATTATGTATATTTTTAAAGAGCTTCACTTTACTTTAATGTTTCTTATGGACTTTGGCTAAGTAAGAATAATATTGATGGTAGGTTTGCAAGATTTAGCAGATAAAAATAAGGATTCCCTGAACTTGAATTTCAGATAAACAGTGAATACCTTTTTCCATATAAGCGTGTCCCAGATATTGCCCGGCATCCTGTATTTTGTCTTGTAATGAGGGATCAAACTGTGCTGTTGGGCGTTTAGCAGCAGTGTGCGAACCCTCGCTAGCAGCCACCGTGTGGGGGTCTCTGGACCTGTCACCTGATGTGTGTCATCGCATTCTCCTTTTACAAATGAGGCTCTGAGACACTAAGTAACTCGTCCAAAGTCCCATAGCCAGTAAGTTGTAGAACTAGGGTTCTAAACTTTGACCTCCACAGCCCATGTTCTCTCCTGAACTGTGCCCCTACTCAGAGATCGCGCTGTCTCTTCACTTCTGAGAAAAGTCCAGAGCCCTTTCCCCTCACTGCCCTTCACTGCCCACACCCCCAGAAGGGCGGAGATGACTGTACACCTGTCTAGAGGAAGCCGATCCTGTGAACAGCTGTTTTTACAGCTAGAAATCAGGGCTGAAGTTCACACGGACGATCCAAGGTAAAGGTGGGGAAGCCTCAGATGCAACCCAGCCGTTGAGGGCCCACTGCAGGCCAAGTCCCAGAAGACAACAGGTAATCCTGGGATTCAGAAAACAAACAGCAATCTACCACAGAGGCAGATCCCTAAAGTGGAATAAAATCAGACAAAGCGAATGAAAATGTAAACATTGTAAAACTCTGAAGACTGAGACAGCGGCCCTGGAAGCAAACGTATCTGGCCGAAGGAAGAGCCTGAGAGAGAGAACAGAGATGAGTGTGCCTGACCATGGCTTCCGGGCACAGTGCCCTGTGGTGTCCAGGGAACACCAGGACAGCCGGGACCCTGCTCCTTACCCCTGAATTTGTCCACTCAGAAGTTCTGAGCCACAGAGCAGTGGCCGACAGACAGGAAGTGTGATTGTGAGGCCTGGATCCTTCAGAGGTATTCACGACACTGAGCATAGTCCTAGCACGATTTCACTCTTAACTGTCATGTTAGTGGAAGCGTGCTTCCCGTGTTTGTGTTCCCCTTGTGATTGGGGCTGTAGCTCTCATGCTCAACGTTAAGTGAAAGGACTGAACAGTCATTCCATTCTGCAGCCTTCTCAGCTCTAGGCAGGGAAGGACCGGCTGAGGGGAGCAGGCTTGTGGAGACAGTGGACAGCTCTAGGTATTTCCTGGGTCTCGTGGGTTGGTCCTCAGCTCCAAAGCTGTCTTTGAATCCTGGCTCAGCCACATTAATGACCAGGAGTTGCTGAGAAAGTCACCCAGGGGTGTGACTTTCAGAGGCTTGGTTTTCTCTGCTGAAAATCAGTATAATAAACTCTCCTCCCTTAAACTTTATAAAAGCTCAAAGAGGTGTCCATTGCTTTGCAGTGGTTGCTAGGCAGTTATTATTACGAAAAAGTTCGGCTTCCCCTGTGAGCAGAGGGCATAGACAGTAGACACTATTCTGAAGAATCCCCTCCAGCAAGATTCTAACAGAAGGAAGCGATTATGCAATATTCGATTTGAATGCAAGTCCACTCTGGCCGCAGGGCCCTTTTCTACCTGAAATATAGAAACTGTATCTTCTAAAACAGTGCCTTATGTTGGAAGTAAGTGTGGTTGCCAACATATTTGGGGAGTGTTTTCCATTTTTTAGGCGGAAAATTTTCCATGAAGCTTAGAAAAAGTCCCCATTTTTCTAGGCCTCCAAGTACACTGAAGGCATCATTTATTCAGTGTTTATTGGGTATCTACGTTGCAGTAGACACTGTGCTAGGGAAAGCAGACATGGCCTCCTGCCTCAGTGGTGACTCACGGTTGACTCATCCACTGGCAAAGAGTCACACAAACACGTGTGTCTCTAAAACTGTGATAGATGCCATGGAGGAGGAAATCAGGATGTGTGAAGGACGAAAACAGACCTAGCCGAGCTTCACCTTTCTGGGACAGCGCTTTCTATTCCCTCATGCAGGAAAAACGTTTCCTATGAAAGCAATTGTGTAAAAGCAATCAAGGAAAGCACTGTGAAACCCAGCATGGATTAGAAATGAGAAGCGAGTTTGTGACTCCAGATTGGACATTCCAGTTCCTTGGCAGTGGACTCGGGGGCTAGTGTTTACTTTGCTAACTGGCTAAAAGGAAATAGTGTCCTCAGACTCGTGACTTTTCCAAGCGAAGACTTGGTTGGGTTAAACTGCATGGATATTGGCAGCCAAGAATTAAGAGGCTCAGCTTGATGCATGAGTTGGCACCAACCAGTCCCTGGACACAACCATATCTAGGAAAACTGAGACTGGAATCACCACTGTGCCCAACCTTAAAGAGCTATGGGGCTGGAACGGGGTGCCAAGGAAGCACTTGCCCCTTGGATGGTGGAAGATCCATGTATTTTAGTCAGAGACAGACCTGAAGGGCTTCCAGAAGCTCTTCCAAGCCAAAGAGCCCCTCCTGGAGCCAACCTTTTCTGCCTTGACTTGAAAAGTCCAGAGACCCCAATGCCTGTCCCCAGCATGAACTTACTCCAGTAGCTTCAGCAAGGGATGGGCCTGATGTGACCTTCCTCAGTGCCGCTCAACTCTGGGACTTGGTTTACCGTGCATGCTGACCTCAAGCCTTCTCACTGTGGGATTTGTTTTTGGCAACTGGGCTTTTTTCCCCTCAACTTGTGGTATTATTGGTTGTTATGAATACCTGAGGAATGCTCAAGCCACATCTTAGCCTCCTAACTTCCTCCTTCTCTCTGATCTCGGGGGGAGTCTGTATCTCTCTAAGGACTGTTCTGCAGACACTGTGCTGGTGGGAGACAAACCCCAAACTCAGTCCTTCATCTTGGCTTTTGGGAGAGCAGTGTGAAGCGACAGAAGTAGATCGAGCTCCTTCCTTACCAGTCTCAGTTGATCTGACTCTCCAGTGGTCACAGAGGATAGGTGGAGGCAGTGGTGATGGGGAAATCCTGCCTTTTAAGTAAGAAGAGATGGGCAATTTTCTCGGGAAGGATTTTTATTTTTCGAATGGGTATTTACACTGTAATGATTTAATGACATCTGCTTAATGGTTTTGCTTCTTTGTTTTACAGAAACAAACAATCACTGCTGTCAAAAAAGAGGTAATTAGTCTTCCAGTTCCAGTGAAGTTTGCTTTTAAATCTTCTAACAGATTATGTGTGCTTTGGCTCTCTGCTCTTCACTCAGTGATGAAATGAAAACCACGTGTAATGTTCAAACAATTATTTCCAAACTCGTGGACAGCACAGGATGCCAAAGCATCTTTTATAAGACCTGAGTGGGGCTGGTGCTGAGACTTCAGGTGTGAAACACCCTCAAAGGGCTGCAGGGTGGCCAGAGGACTGAGGACAGTGCTGCAGATAATCCACATCCACAGCCCCCTTCCGGCCCCTGCTCCTACACGGTCATTCAGAATCGACTCAGGGTGGCAAGTGGCCTGCTCGGCAAATCTTATACCCGTGACCCAGGCAGAGCCCTGGGAGCCTTGGCCATCGAGGGAAGTGTAGTTTGATATCTGAACAGGGAAGAAGGTGACTGAAGAGGGGGTGGTTTGCTTCTGCCAAAGCTGCAGACCAGAAAGATTAAGGATGTTACCTGTGGCAGGTACCACTCTCTGCTTCTGTCAACCAGAGGCTCATGAAGGGAAAGCCAAGTGTCGGTCCCTGTGTCTCAGTTTAATGCTCCTTAGAACTTTTTTTTCTTCTTCTTGCTGATGCCTCCTGATGGGCTAAGGGGGCCACTGATTTGGAGCTTTGGGCCAGCTGTCTACTATGGGTCTGAGTCCTGGTGGTCCTGAGGTGGCCGGCTTAGGGAATGGATTGGGGTGTGGGCGTGGATAAATGGCTTGTGGTTTTGGAGGCCACATGTGACCTTCAAGGGTGGGGAAGTTGAGCCCCTTCTAACAACTGTGTCTCTTCCAGATCATGTATTACCAACAGGCCTTAATGAGGTCCACAGTGAAATCTTCGGTGTCTCTTGGAGGGTACGTCCCTACTTTGTTGGTCTTGCTCAAGTTTGAGAACAGGTGGGCCTGAGGAGAACTGCTTTAGGGCAAACTCGGCAAGCCTTGGCTTGACAGACTTAAGAGCCTGCAGAACGGTGAGGGACCCTGCCAGTCTCTTGGGGGTTTCGTTGTTAGTAGTTCTTCCCTCAGGGTAAGCCTCCTGGTCTCATCTCGGGTGAGGTTCTAGAAAGTGTGTCACGTCTCTTGGAATCCACTAGTGTGTGGATAGGGAGGTGAGAAGAGCGGGAAGTCTGTGGCCTGGGCCCGTGGGATGGCTTCAAGACAGCCTGTGTTCCCATCCTCCCCCTTCACGTTTTAGGGATGTGGGCTACGTTAGCCGGTTCCATGTGCTGCTACATGGCTATTGTTAGTCATCAATCTAAAATCCAGTGAGGACAAAGTGGACATTTATGTTTGATTTATTGAACTTTCAGGCTACTTTGATCCAGTCCCCAGTAGGGCATGATTTGGGAGACACAAAAGTCTTAGTGCTTCCCAAATGCAGGCAGTTGTCCTTTTGAAATGTGGACGTCACTTTAGAACCACGTTGCTAACTCTGAGATTTTCCTGCACACATGAAAATGAACTTGGTTTATTCCTGGGGCGGCACAATGTGACTAATCATTTACTCTGCGTGAGACTCAAGGAATGTTACCGGTCGAGACTGAGGATGTTGGGCTTTGTCCAGCGCCTTCGTTCCAACACCGTTGGGAGTTGGGCTCCTGTAAAATTATTTATGCCTTCCCAAATCCCTAGTTTACAAAAATGTCACCTGCCCCGAGAAAATGTGCCCTGACCCCACCCATGTTTTTCACAGACTCTATTGCGACTGAGCCCTGACCCAGATGAGGAGGGCACCTATGTGCTCAGGGGTGCTCACTTTGGCTCGTCATGATAATCATTGTTCTATGATAAGCTCAAAAACATTTACTTTGATGTTCCAGAAACCCAGTTTCATGACACCAAACAAAGAAAATTGAAGGAGATTCAAACATACTTCTTAGACCCACTTCCTAATGTTTATTTGTCTCAGGGTCTCACTACCGTAATTTAGACATCCTCAGTGTTTCAACCATGGACCAGTTTTCCCATGTTCCCCCAGCTGCTGCACTGGTAGAGGTCAGACTGAAGAACGAGAGAGTCCTGGGAGAGATGCAGCGGGGCTTGAGTTCCGCGTGGACCTGCAGACACAGTGCTCTGGTTTATCTGTCCAACCCCATGGCTGAGGGCAGACCTCAGGGCAGGTGCTTGATGTGTCCACTGCGGACACAATTCCCCACCTATGGGCGCAGACATAGCAGGTTTCTCCAGACTTCCTAGACAGTGGGACGTATGCTGACTCAGAAGGTGTGACTCACCTCAAGGCTGTGAAAGAAACCTTTTAAAATTGATACGTAATCGTACACATAGTAATGCTTCGATACATGTATAGTGAGCGGTTCAGGGTGAGTCACATGTCTGTCATCTCCAGTGTTTGTCATTTTTGTGTATTGGAAACACTATCATTGCTTCTAGCCATTTGAAAACATATGAAAAGTAGAATAGAGGATATTAGAGGCTGGGATGTGTAGAGGAAAGAGAGGGGTGGGGAGAAATTGAAATGACATTACAGCCAGCTGGGAGGAATAAGTTCTCGTTGAACAGTAGTCTTCTGTATTTCCAAATAGCTGAAGAGAAGAAATAAGCTCCTGCCCAATAAGGCATTTGCGGTTCGCACCTCAGTGAGACCCAGGTTTGCATAAAGGGTTTAAGTTCCAAAACCCAGGCATTATGCTGGCAAAGGGTGGAGCCCAGTGTGATGACAGTCTCAGTGAGTCTGTGCTGACCTCATGCCTCCAAGATGGATGCAGAGACGCCTGTTTGAACAGGCCGACTGAGTCAGCTTTACCTCCAAGCCACTCCCCCTGGAGTATCCAGAGGCCTATTTTAACGAACTAGACACAGAGAGATGGCAAAGGAATGGCACTGGGAAGCGGTGTTTCATTTCACAGGTAGATTGAGGCCAATCTTGTCAACTCTCTGCCAGTCCCAGGGGCGGGGAGAGAGTTTCTGAGATAGAAGTCAGCTTGTCACTGGTCGATGCAGGGTAGGGTGGCTGGTCCACTTACCTGCATATTGGTTCCATCTCTTGGCTGTTGAGCTTCTGGAGATCACTTTCCCATTGGTTTTCAGGATCGTCAAGTACAGCGAGCAGTTCTTATCCAACGACGCCATCATGTCGGGCTGCCTCCCCAGCAATCCCTGGATAACGGATGACACCCAGTTCTGGGATCTAAACGCCAAGCTGTATGTATCCGACGTGTTGGTTTTTTTCCAACAGCTTTTGAGTTATGATTCACCCATTTAAAGCGCACAAGCCAATGTTTATCATATTTATGATTTAGTGCACTCGTCACTACAGTCCATTTGAAAACATTTTCATCACCCAGAAAGGAAACCCCACACTCCCCCAGCCTTTGGCACCACAAATCTACCTTCTGCCTTTATGGATTTGCCTGTTCTGGACATTTCATGTAAATGGAATCATATACTATGTGAGCTTTTGTGACCAGCTTTTTCACTTAGTGTAATGCTTTCGGTGTTCATCCCCGTTGAGCATGTCACTGCTTTACTCCCGTTTACAGTTGAATAATATTCATGATATGGATAGGCCACATTTTGTTTACCCATTCACCCACCGAGAGACATTGGGTTGTTTTCTGACTTTTGGCTAGTGCTGCTATGAACGTCCGGGAACAGGTTTTTGTGTGGACACTTGTTCTCATTTCTCTTGGGTGCATAACTAAGAGTGGAATTGCTGAGTCAAATGGTGACTCGATGTTTAACAGTAGATTGGTTTTGAAAATGTGAAACATCAGCTTTATGACTTTGCTTGTTTGATGTCTAACCGGAGTAAGTGTAAGTTCCGGGAGGTTGAAGGGCTAAGCTTGGCTCTTCTCGTGAGTTCTGAGCAGTTGCCGCGGACTCTGCCTGCATACGTGTGTGGTTTAGAAGAGGTGGCAAGGGCAAAAGTGCAGAGGGAGCGTCCAAAGTCACAGAGGAGGAAGAAGGGAAGCGGGTGGTGATCAGGCCAGAGGGAGAGTCCCAGCTCGCAGAGGAAGGAAGCAGGGGCGGGGAAGAAGGGGAGGGTCAGAGGGAGAGGGAGAGGGGAGAAGGGTCAGGCAGGAGCATTCCGGGGAGGTGGGGTGATGGGAAAGGAGGGAACACCAGGTACTGGCCACTGTCCCGGTCAGCGCTGAGGCAATTGCCCCGAGGCCTGAGGAGCACACAGGTGCCACCCCTAGCCAGGTGGGCAGATGTGGCTGGGCGGGGCCGGTCTCATCTCAGAGCTGCCCTTGCTCCTTTTTCGGGGAGGTCAAGGAGGCCACTCATCTGGAGTTGCAGTTACCTGTCGACTAGGGTTGGCTGCGGAGCCGAGGACTCTAGAGCCCCCTGGGAGGCTCCCCCCGCCTCGTGCTTGTGGATGGGTATGTGCAGAGTTCGGCTGTGCTAGGAGAAGGCAGGCGGCCTGGCCAGGAAGAGCATCGTCCTGGGAGGGCCTGGGAGGAGGAAGAGACAGCAGCCGATTTTAAGCGAGATGGGGAGTGGGGTCGAATCAGGTAGAGGCTGCCGGGGGAGAGAAAGGGGTGATGACTGTGCAGGAGGCGCTGGTCCGAGGGCCCTGGGAGGATGGCCGTGGAGCGTCCCGCTGACAGTGGGGGCCCTCGCCAGGCACAGCGGCTCCTGCCTGTGGTCCTCGCACTTTGGGAGGCCAAGGCAGGAGGATGCTCGAGCCCAGGAGTTCGAGAGCAGACGGGGCAGCACAGCCAAATCTGTCTCTACAAAAAAATAAAATAAAATAATTAGCCACACGTGCTGGCGCACACCTGTAGTCCCGGCTGCTTGGGAGGCTGAGGTGGGAGGATTGTTTGAGCTGAGGAGGTTGAGGTTGTGGTGAGCCATGATGGTGCCATTGCACTTCAGTGTGGGTGACAGAGGGAGACTCCAACTCCAAGAAAAAAAAAGTGGAGTAGTCTGGTTCTTCATAGTTTAGATTTTAGAGCAGCATTAAAATGATCTGGAAAGCTTAAAAAAACAAACCAATGTCCGGGCCTTATCCCCACGCTCTCGTTTAATTAGCCTGGGTGCTCTTTCATGAGCCGCTGGGCTGCCCAGACTGGGTTAGGCCTGGTTCCCCGTGTGGCCCTTGGACCAGTGGTGTCTGCATCGCCTGGGAGCTTGTCAGAAACACACGTGCTTGGCCTGCCCACTCCTGCTGAATCGGAAACTCGAGGGACAGCACCCAGTGATCTGCTTCCATGAGCCTTCCAGGTGGTTCTGATGCCTGTGGATGAGTGCAAGCTGCCACTGAAAAATCGCAGCTCTGCTTCGTACTAACTGTGTGAGCCTAGACCAGCAGCTAGCCTCTTGGAACCTTCGTGTTCTCAGTGGTGAAGTGGGTAACGACACTCCCAAGGATTCAGTACTACGTGTGAAAAACAAGGTCCCTCGCATGTGGCAGCGCGCCGTGAATGCTCGCTGCTCATGTTATTGTGGCATTCTGATGGTTTTCACACTTGCTGCTACCAAAAGTGTAAGCTTGCCTGGCAGGGTTTATTTTGTGTCCCATGGACATGATTTGGACCTGCTTCTGGTGCCAGCCGCGATGTGTGGGACATGTGGTGTAAAGGGACTTGAAACCGTGGTTTCAAAGGGGCGGTGTTGGGGTTAGGAGACTTCCACAAGGAATAGGAGAGAGACCCCTATTTCCTGATTCTCTGGGATGTTGGGCCTCTGCTAGCCGGGCTCGAATGTCCAGTCTGGGCTCGGGAAGATCGTTCCAAACCTGAAGCGTAGCGGGTCTGCCTCTTAGAGGAAGTTCAGGGAGAAAGCGCAGGGATGGCAGATGGGACCCGCTGGAGGCCCGTGCCCAAGGAAGAGGAAAGGTCACCAGCTCCGCCAGGAGCCAGGATGGGCGACGGGCACCCGGTGGGGCAGTGGCCGCGGCAGCCCTCACCTGTGCTGCTCCAGAATTCTTTCCTGGCCCAGGGGCAGCCTGCCCCTCCATCAGTCTCCAGGCTGTCCCCAGGTTTGGAGGAGGCTGAGGGAGCAGGGCCCAAGTGCAAGCCCCGCGACGACCTCCTCGCTTCCAGGGACAGCTGCCTCCCTGATATGAGCCCAGGGGCTTGTCTGAGGCCACATCTTCCAGCAAGTGATTGCTCGTGTGTTTGTGCAGGAATGGGGGCAGGAAGGCGACTGGCTTGGGCCATTGCCATGGGACTGATGGAAGCTGGGTGGCCTCAAGCCCCTCGCCTCCACCCAGCCCCCGCCTGGCACAGCCCCTGCCCGGCATGGAGTTCTGGTGCCTTTATCAAGAAGTGTCCTTGCAGGGTGGAAATCCCAACCAAGATGCGGGTGGAACGGTGGGCCTTCAACTTCAGCGAGCTGATCCGAGACCCCAAGGGCCGACAGAGTTTCCAGTACTTTCTCAAGAAAGAATTCAGCGGTAGGTCTTTTTCCATTGCTTTTGAAACCCTGCTTTATTGTTTTGCCCAGAGTTTTGGGGATTTCTCAGCAGATGTTTTCACAGCTTTGCTGACACCCTTAAGCTAGTGCTTCCTTTCATAGCTTCAAGAATGGTACTGCTTTTCCCACAGGCTCAAAAAGACTCCACAGGCTGGGGGAAATTATATCCGCTCACAGAACCCGGGTTGGCATCCCGCACGTTCAAGGGCCCCATCTACCCTGGCTGCCCTAACTCACCCAAGGAGCCGTGCTCCCAGCGGCCTCTAAGTTCAGCTTTCCAGGGCGGCCTGGAGGAATGGGAGCCAGACAGGCAGGCTTTCCTTTTCTGTCTCCTGCCTGATGTTCTGCTCAGAGGTTCTGCACATGCAGTTTGCCTGGGGATATTTAAAAATTGTTTGTGGCCGGGCGCTGTGGCTCAAGCCTGTAATCCCAGCACTTTGGGAGGCCAGGTGAGGAGATGGCCTGAGCCCACGGGTTCGAGAACAGCCTGGGCAACTCGGGGAGACCTCATCTCTACAGTAGATCAAAAAAATTAGCCAAGCATGGTGGCGCACACCTGTAGTTCCAGCTATTTGGAAGGGTGAGGCGTAAGGATTGCCTGAGCCCGGCAGGTCGAGGCTGCGGTGGTGGCCGTGAGCAGCCACTGAACTCCAGCCTGGGTGACAGAATGAGACTCTGACTCCAAAAACAAAACAAAAGAAAACCACAAATCAACAACCAAAACCTGTTTGCCTGGATCCAACCCCAGAGAGTTGCTTTGTAATTGGTTGGGGTCGGAATCCCTGAATCTTTGAAAACTCCCAGGATGATTCTGTGAGCCGGTGACTGAGAGCCGCTGCCTTTACTCCTGGACTGATTTCTTCAGCCTTAGCTGGGTGCTGATTTTACTGGAATGGGTGGGCCACGCTTTAGATCCCCTCTCGTGTGGGCACCTGCAGCCTCTGGACTATATTGCATGCAGAAACGTCTGGGAAACCCGAGAGCCAGACTGGAGCCAGTTTCACCAGGCTGCACACTCACTCGGCTTCACTGCCTTTGTGCAATACTGATGTTCAGGGCTCGGGTCCTTTCTCAGTCTCCAACCTTGGGCGAGCCTTGGCGCCGCCCTGCTACCTACTGCCCAAGACGCGCCGTTAGTCTGGCTGACTGCCGGACGCAGGGCATCACACTATAATATGGGTCGTTGCAAGTCCTCCCTAATCAAGCCAATTGCCATGATAGAATAAAACCCCAGAAAGATGGATGAAGGGGGCGGGCTGGCGAATAAGTGGCCATGGTGCCACCTAGTGCCAAGATGGCAAACTACATCTGAGCTTATTTCACCCACGCATTGCTTAGACCCCAGCAAAAAAGATTTCCCTGTCTTTAAAGCGTGTCCCTGGCAATCTCCTCATGACTTGGAGGCTTCAGGTATGAACAGAGCATGGAATAGTCAGTCTTCTCATTTAATTTTTTTTAAAAAGTAAATTGAAGTATCCTGATGCCACGTAATAGTCACCCTTTAAAAGTGTACAGTTTGGTGGTTTTCAGTATAATTCACTAAATTGGGCAACCATAGTCGCTATCTCATTCCAGAACATTCTCACCACCCTAGGAAGAAACCCTGAACCCATCAGAAGTCATCCCCTGCTCCTCCCCGCCCTGCACTAGCTCCCAACTCCTTCTCCTCCCTGACCCGGCCCTATGAAGCCAGGAAATCTACTTCCTATCCCTATGAGTTTGCCTGTCCTGGACATTGCTTATAAATGGAATCACACAGCACATGACCTTTTATCTTCTTTCATTTAGCACAACGTGGTCAAGGTCTGTCTGTGCTGTAGCGTGTAACAATGCTTCATTCCTTTTGAGTGACCTCGACATCACATGGATGGATGGATACACCACATTTTATTTATCCATTTACCAGTTGATGGACATTTGGGTTGCTTTGACTTTTTGGCTATTGTGAATAATACTGCTGTGAATATTTGTGTACACATTTTTGTGTTCTCATTTAATTTTTTGAGGGCAAAATATATGTAGTGTGAATTTTGCCATTCTGATCATTTTTAAGTGTACAATTTAGTAGTATTCAATACCGTCACATTGTTTTGCAACTGTCACCACTATCCATCTCCCGAGTTTTTTAAAGTCATCCCTAACTGAAACTCTGTCCCCATTAAACACCAATTCCGCCTTTTCCCCTGCCCCTGGTAACCACCATTCTACTTTCTTTGTCTGTGAGTCTGACAGCTCTAACAGCCTCTTATAAGTGGAATCATACAGTATGTGTCCTTTTGTGACTGGCTTATTTCCCTGAGCATGACATCCTTGGGGTTCATCCGTCTATAGCAGGTGCTGGACTCGTCTTCCTTTTAAGACTGAGTAATATTCCATTGTATGGACAGACCCATTTTGTTTATTCAACCCTCCATTGTCCATTGATGGGCACTTGGGAGATTTCCGCCTCTTGGCTATCGGGAAGAATTGCTCATGTAATTTTAACCCTAAGCAGTTAACCGTCTATTGCTATGGACAAGACGGTCTACACCACACTTGATGCCAGATCAGTCGCATGTCAGGTGAAAACATCACTGGCCTGTTCTCTCAGTCCAGAGAACACCTTAGAGGTCATGTTGAAGAGGAAGGACCTCTGCAGGCTGTGGGACAAATGTCAACTGGTTTAGGATTGTGCAACCTCTTCACAGAGTCTGAAACACCTGGGCACATAGAAAAAGGCCCTGTGAGAAAGGGAGGGCGTGCTCCAGTCCACCTGCCTGTGCTGCAGCCCTCCACAGTTCACAGGAATGCACACACAGGCTCTTGCTCTCCTGTTGGTGTGACGTCTTTATTTTCCAGGCAAAAGTTGCCACCTGGGGTCACTTCACTAACATAGTCACAATGCCTCCAGGTCGAGAACACCAGGGAGAAGGTGGGGGCATTGGACAAGTGGCTTTTCCTTCTGGGCCCGGAGGAGTCGTTTCCCTCCAGGCCCAGGAGATGCTCAGTGAGGAGATGCTCAGTGAGGTCCCCTGGGGGTCGGTCTGTCTGTGCAGCTGCTTGAGAAGCCCCTTGCAGGGACCTCTGTTCTGGAACGTGCTCTGCAGGGGCTGTCAAGCTGGGGTCTCCACACGTAGCCAAGCAGAAGGGGTGGAGTCCACAGGGAGTCATCAAGCAGGAGCAAAGTGCCTCAGAGTCCATATGACACCTGCCAACAGGGCTCCGGGGCCCTCCAGGACCAGCTGTGGGTGTGGCTCTTTCCCCCAGGATGTCTTGTCTGGGTCACAGTGTGCAGAGGCTTTTTCCGCAGAGTGGAGGCCCCTGGCTGGGGAGCTGCCTCTGTCCTGGCTGACCAGCGTCTCTTATTTCCCTCTTTCCTCTCCCTGCCTGTCTCCTGGCGGCTTCCATCTGCGCGCCCTCGCCTCCCGTGCAGGGGAGAACCTGGGATTCTGGGAGGCCTGCGAGGACCTGAAGTATGGGGATCAGTCCAAGGTCAAGGAGAAGGCTGAAGAGATCTACAAGTGAGGACCAGCCCCCGCGGACGATGACATGGCGTTGGTGTCAGGTGGAGGGTGGGGGGACACGGCTGCAGCTGGCCGGGCTCTCATGGCCTGGTTCCCCCGTCTGCCATGCCATAAATACCTCCCGCTGCCGAGGGAGGCTTGGGGATTCTGCTTGGGAAAGCTGTGCTTCCCCTGCTCCTTGGGGAAGGTGTGGCAGGGTCCAAGGAGCAAGTTGCCCTGATCTGCAGCCCAAAGTGGGGTGTCTTGGCCGAAGCCCTTGGTCTCCTGAGAGAGGGGGGTGCATGTGGGTGGGAGCGAGTGGGGCAGGGAAAGGGGGAAGGGGGGAGAGGGGAGAAAGACAGGAGGAGGGAGAGCGCGGGGAGAAGAGAGGGAAACGGGAGGGAGATGGGGGGAGAGGGAGAAAGGGAGCTAGAGGGAGGGAGAGAAGGAGAGAGGGCAAAAGGAGAAAGTGTGGGGGCCTGTTGGCCCCGCCCAGCGGACTTGGACCTCCTGGCACCCCTGACACACGACGCCTCCTGCTTCCAGAAGCCCACTCAGGGAGCTTCCCACCTCCCCCGTGATTTCAGCCTCCTTCCTCCCAAGCTCCCCACTGTGGAATGCTGAGTTGAGTTCCAGAATGTTTGTTTGTTATTCCTAATGATGTGGGGGACGATTCAAGATTCGATCTACAAACGGTCCTTGTGCAGAGCCAAGTTCGGGCCTGGCTTGGGTCCCCACTTCTGGTCCAAGATCAAGCACGCTTATGGATGACGTGCGCCCGACCGCCCTGCCCTGCCGCGTCCCCAGCACCTGCAGTGTCCTGCCAAAAATGTTGCATCTCAGGAGGACGGGAAAATATTGAAGCCCGCGGCCACGCACACGTGGGGGCATCGGGGGAGCTCCCAGGTAGAACTGCAGGACTCGGGAGGTGTGGTCCTGTTGGGTCTAGCCGGGGCCCTTGGCCTGGCTGCCCAGGTGATCAGAACCCCGGGTGCCTGGATTCGGGCTGCTTCCAGCTCAGCATTTGAGATTGCTCACAAAACACATCTAGGCTGAGCCAAAGGACAGCAGCGGCGCCCAGGAAGCCTGTCTGGAGGTGTCTGCCTCGTTCCGGGCTGGCCCCGGAGCCCTGGCGAACGAGGAGGGGGAAGGCGGAAAGCTGGGGCCGGGGCCTCAGCCTCTGCCAGGGCTCGGCCCCGCCCGGGCGTCCCCACCTCCTGGCCCCGCAGGCTGGGACCTCAAAGTTACACGCACTCCCAACATGGGCATGGCGGTGTTCCTGCCTCTCGGAAAAGTCACTTGACAATCCCATCACAAACTAGTGTCTCCGGGGAACAGGGGCACCCTCACCCCGGGGAGCCCTTGTGGTGTCCGTCCCGCCCTCCCCAGCGGCTGCAGACTGGGCGCGGCCACGCTTGCAGACGCCCCCTCCCTCCTCAGGCTCTTCCTGGCCCCTGGGGCCCGGCGCTGGATCAACATCGATGGCAAGACCATGGACATCACTGTGAAGGGGCTGCGGCACCCCCACCGCTACGTGCTGGACGCTGCGCAGACCCACATCTACATGCTCATGAAGAAGGTAGCCGGCCTCCCACCCGCGCCCGGGGTGTTCTTCAGAGGGGGCGGGAGGTGACACATGGCGTTGCTCTGCTGGTGAGGGCAAGCTGTTCTGCCTGGCCACTGCAGTGCTGGACCATCCTCAAGCCCCCTCTCCCAGGGCGGGGGACGCCTGCAGAAGCCACGTGTGCTCAGTGTAGCACTGACATTAGGAATGACCGCGTTATTATAACAGCTACATTCGCTGAGGCCTTCTGAGGTGCAGCCACTGCAAAGCAAGGAACTGTGCACAAAGCCTGCGAGCAGGCTTCTCCAGAACCTAGTGGCTTGCCCAGGTCTCACGGAGCTGGGGCTGGGTCACACTTGGGTCTGCCTGATCCAGGCTGAGCTCCAGCGCTCTGTGTGCACTGGTGGCAGTTCTCATGGTCCTGGCCCTAAGCAAATATCACACACAGGTTGGCTCTAAAAGAGACAAATTAGGCCGGGCGTGGCGGCTCACAACTGCAACCCCAGCTCTTTGTGAGGTCGAGGTCAGAGGATCACTTGTGGCCGGGAGTTCAAGCCCAGCCTGGACAAAATAGTAAGATTCCATTTGTACAAAAAATAATAATGATAAAAGTAACCAGGCAGGTGGTGCATGTCAATAGTCCCGGCTACTTGGGAGACTGAGCAGGAGAATCACTTGAGGCCAGGAGTTTGAGACCAGCCTGGGCAGCATACAAGACTATAAGACTTCATCTCTACCAAAAAAAAAAAAAAGCTGGGTGTGGTCCTGTTTGGAAGGCTGAGGCAGAAGAATCGCTCGAGTCCAAGAGGTCGAGGCTGCAGTGAGCTCTGATTGCGCCACTGCACTCCAGCTTGCGTGTCAGAGACAAGCCCTGACTCAAAGAAAAAGACGAATTAAGTGTAATTGTAGTAAGACCCTGTGAGGATTCAGATAGCCTTCTGGACTATTACTAAAATGTGAACATGGCGGGAATTTTCAGGGAATTGTATTTCTTTTTTTTTGAGTTGGAGTCTCACTCTGTTGCTCAGACTGGAGTGCAGTGGCCGCTCCCGGCCACCGCAGCCTCGACCTGCTGGGCTCCGGCGATCCTTCTGCCTCAGCCTTCTGAGTAGCTGGAACTACAGGCGCGCGCTACCACGCCCGGCTAGTTTTTGATTTATTGTAGAGATGAGGTCTCGCCAAGTTTCCCAGGCAGATCTCGAACCCGTGGGCTCAGGCAATTCACTCACCTCAGCCTCCCAAAGGCAGGAATTGTTTATTAAAAAAACAAAGATCACCTGAGAAAAATCAGTGCTTTTCTTAAGAATTGAAGCTCTGGGTTAGTCTTTGAGAAGTTGTCTAGCTCAGGGCTTCTTTGCTGCCAATCCTGACAAGGCCTCCTTGGGCTGCTTCAGCTTCTCGTTATGGCGGTTATTTCTTTAGAGACCTCTCTAAAACATCTCTGTAAACTTGGTGATATCATACAGGGTTCTGTAGGTGGCAAATGCTTAGTGGCTTCCCTGATTTATATTTCTCCCGCTTAGTCTTTTATTGTGTCACAAAAATATTTTTAGTTTACTTTTAAAACATGTAATAAGTTAGAATTGAGAATTTTCCCACCAAGCCAGATGAGCCAGTTTTCACAATTTTTAAAAGTCAGTGGGGTGGCTGTGTTTTTGCTACTGGAAGATTAATGGCAGGGTTTCCTTAATAATAGTCCTCTTTAATATATTTTTCCATGTTTTGATTCTTACAAATGTCATTTGTGTGCAGCCTTTTAGGGGACAGGGAGGCCAGCTTCTCGCCGGAACGGAGCAGAGCCACAGGTGGCTTAGGAAAGGAGTGGCACGTGCGCCTGTGGGACCCCGTGTCACCACGCCGTGTCTTCTCGTGGTCAATCCACCGTGACCCATGGCTCCAGAGTGCCTGTTCCCAGTTCTGTCCTAGCTCTCATTGCTTTCACTGCCACCATTTAGTCTTTTAGACCAGTACTGTGTCAACACATTTCTAAAATGTTCTTTCAAAAAATTAGCTGGGCGTGGTGGTGTGTGCCTGTGGTCTCAGCTACTCAGGAGGCCAAGTTGGAAGGATTCCTAAGCCCAGGAGGTCAAGGCTGCAATGAGCGCTCTCTCTCCCTCTGTCTCTCCCTCTCTCTGGATGTGTGTGTGTGTGTGTGTGTGTGTGTGTGTTCTCAATCCCTGGTGGTTGCAACGGGTCTTGTCCCATCTTTGTGATGACTGGCTTAGAGGCAACACATTCACGAAGCAACTTCTCCGAACGTACCCAGGCCCCAGGGATCATCCCCACAAGAGGACTCTGGGCCTTGTTTCGGTCTGAGTTTTAAATTCTCTTGCCCTTAGATCCAAAACACAGGGCAGAAAGAGTTGTCAGTGGGCATCGACCTCCTAGGGACTCATTGTCCTTGGAAGAAAGGACTGGATGGGAGAGGTCGGGTGCCTTCTTGTCTCACGCTGGCTTCATGGAACAGCTCTAAGGTGGATCTTAGTGTGTGAGGTCACCAGCAGCAGCTCTCAGACTTAAGGGTGCAGCAGCATCGCCTGGTAACTTGCTAAGACTCGGGCTGTTCCACCCCAGAGCTTCCGGTTCAGGGAGGCCTGAGAAGGGGCATTTCTGACAAATTCCTGGGTGAAGTCGATGCTTCTGGCCTGGGACGGCCCCTGGGGCCCCTGCCCTCATAGCTGTCTCGATGCCCTTCCCACCGCGACATGTTCCAGCTTGAAGGCTCACTGCAGGGTGGGGCTTGGGAGCCTCACTGCGGGGTAGGGCTTGGAAACGGCAGGCCATTCGTGTCATTGGACGCATTCCCCCTCACCATTACTGCCTTTTCCTTTTTCCACCAGGATTCTTACGCCCGCTACCTAAAATCCCCCATCTATAAGGAAATGCTGGCCAAAGCCATCGAGCCTCAGGAGACCACCAAGAGGAGGCAAGTGGAGTTGCTTATGCTTGCAGCTGCCTGCTGATTAGCGTCAGAGAAGCCAGGCTCTCTCGAGCCAGAGAGCCGGTTGACTGTTGACGTAATTGCCTGATGAAAGTTCTGGGGCCTGGGAGGTGTTGCCTAGGGGAGGAGGCCTCACTTGCTCTGTAGGGCCCTGAAGCCACATGGCAAGCCTGCCCTTGTCATTACCACCAGGAAGCCTTGTTTCCCTGACACTGGCTTGGAAGAGTTTTTTTGTGGGTTTTTTTTGTTTTTGTTTTTGAGTTGGAGTCTCACTCTGTTGCCCAGACTGGAGTGCAGTAGCTTCTGGCCACCACAGCCTCAACCTGCTGGGCTCCGGCGATCCTTCCGCTTCAGCCTTCCAAGTAGCCGGAATTACAGGCATGCTCTACCACGCCCGGCTGATTTTTTGATTTATTGTCGGGATGAGGTCTCGCTGCCCAGGCGGGTCTCGAACCCACGGGCTCAGGCAATCCACTCACCTCAGCCTCCCAAAGGCGCGGGATTTTTTATTATCAGGCCAATGATTAGCTTTCTCACAAATGGAAGCCTCTTGTTGATTTTTTAAATCTTGACACTTCTCTACCTCCAAACTGATGTATGCTCCAAGGCATTAGAGAGAATAGCAGATTGCACCCCAAGAGAAAAGGCTAGCCCTGGGGAAAATGCACTAGGTATTCTTGCTGGCTCCAGGGATCGCCTCGAGGAAGTCCAGAAGCTCGTGCTTTCCCACGCTCCTTGTCGGGGATATGGGCTATCTCAACTTGGGGGGCATTGGGGCAATGGATGAGAGTGTTCTGAGGCGTAGACTGCATTCTTTCAGGGGGAAAGCACCCTGCAGGGATTGGCTCTGTGGAAGAGAGCCAAATGATGACCTGAGCAGAGTTTTGGGACGTGGCAGAGGTTTTCCCACTGGCATCCCTGTCTCCCCGTAGCTGCTAAATGTTCCCCCGTTTGCCCGCACTGAGTCCCTTTTCAGCACCTTCGGCACTTCAAAGGGGAGTGATTGGACAAGAGCCTTTATCAGGAGGACTCAAAACAAAGACCAACTTACTGGGCATGGTGGCTCATGCCTGTAATCCCAGCACTTTGGGAGTCTGAGTGGGAGGATTGCTTGAGCCCAGGAACTGGGGACCAGCCTAGGCAACACAGCAAGACCTCGTCTTCACAAAAACCAAGAAAAATTAGCCAGGCATGGTGGCACATGCATGTAATCCCAGCCACTCAGGAGGCTGAGTCGGAGGATTGCCTGAGCCCTGGAGGTCAAGGCTGTGGTGAGTCATGACGGTGCCACTGCACTCCAGCCGGGGTGACAGTGAGACCCCAACTCAAAAACAAAAGCAAAACGAGACAAAAAAACTAGCTTGGTTTCGTTGTTGAGGATGATGGCCCTGTTACGAGAGAGAGCTGGCCTTTTTGGTGTGATCTTCTAGGTTCGCCAAGTAAGGAAGGGAGTCCCCGGGGTCTTAAGAGCTTGTCCTTCAGACCCAGAGAAAGAGCTGCCATGGCTCCAGAAGTTCTGACTGAAAGTGGTGGGGAGGGGTCATGTGTCTCTCCAGGTGTTTCATGAGCTGGGGCAGACATGCGCATGCAGCAGGCCCTTTCGTGGGCATAGCCGGGCCTTGAGGCCCGGGCAGCAGAGACCACTGGTAGGGCCTCAGCTGTGGTATGGGTTTTGCAGCCTGGGAATGTCGTCCTCACTGCTGTGAGTGAGAATGACATGTGAATGCTTCTGTCACGGGTGAGGCCCGGCCTGCGGCCACGCAGAGGCTACAGTGGGTGCCGGTTTGTTTCATTACTTGCATGCGTAAGACAACGTGTGAAAACAACTTTTCCAGGACATTTTCTACCTCATGCCAAGCCTTCCCCTTGGCTGGGCTGGTGAGAGGCAGTGTCTGGCCTTGCCTCCCGGCAGGGATCCCTGCCCCTCCCTAGGACAGACACAAGGGTTCTAGGGGCTTATGCAGACCCCAGGCCTTTGTCTGTCATTGCCGCTCAGATGCAAGTTTCCAGGCCTGAGTCGGCCCTCAGAGCAGGTGGCGCTGCTGCTGCCCACCCACTGCATTCCTGGGTTACCCAGAGCTGGGGCCTGGCTCCTGCGGCTGTATAGAGACAGTTGGACCCAGGAACCCACGTCTGGCTTCTGAAGAAGGTTCTGCCACGTGCCAAGATGCCGTAGATGAGCAGGGTGCCGCCAGCTCACCACCTCCCTGCTGGCCCCTTCCCGCTCTCCCTGTCCTTTGAGGCCCAGCCCTCCGAGACAGGCCAGCTCGCTCCTTCCTTCCCGAGCCTTGGCTTTTGGAAACAAATGCCCGACTCTCTCTCCAGGCCGGAGCCCTTGAACTTCCAGCACCTCAGCCTCCTTGTCCCCTCTCTCGTGGAGCTCTTACAGGAAGTTAAGGCAACACACTGGCTTCTAAGCATCGTAGCGGTCACATCTGGAATCTTCCCCACCCAAAGAGCCTTGCTCGTGCCTAGCCTGAAATCTGATGGCCGTTAACACTCGCGCGGGTCTCGTCCTTCAAGCAGGGGGCCCAGAGCCAAGCCGGACACAGCTCTGAGGACCCCGCTTGAGGTCTGCCAGGAAAAGGGACAGATCCAGAATCTGGACCTTCTAGCCCCGCCTCCCACCCCACAGGGCGCTGTCGGGCTGGGCACGCGGCGTCATCTCCCTCCAACCGCCAATCTGTCCTCCCTTCCAGCTCCACCCTCCCTTTCATGCGGCGTCACCTGCGCTCCAGCCCAAGCCCCGTCATCCTGCGGCAGCTGGAAGAAGAAGCCAAGGCTCGAGAGGCAGCCAACACGGTGGACATCACCCAGGTCATGAGCAGGCTGGACCGTAGGAGCCAACTGAGAAAGGAGCTGCCCCCCAAATAAATCTGCAGTTCCTGGGGGTGGGGGGCGAGCACTGCCCCCTCTCTAGCGGGAAGGCAGACCAGGGCGGGCAGGGTTAGAGTCTGGAAGGTTCCGTTCCCCATGAGCGAGGCAGTAGGGTCGTGGGTCCTCCCATATTCCTCCAACTTCCTTTGTGGGTGGGCACTTCCTGACACCACAACCCCAGGGCTTGTCCTGCTCCGGCTCCCCCAGGCACAGGGTCAGTGACGGGGTGGGGCTGGGGCGCCCTGACTCAGCTGCCGTGTGACGGCCTGTCACGTCTCAGGGAGAGCTAGTCGCGGGAAACGTGGGGAAAGTACCACCGTTTGCTTTGGAAGATGAAAGAGGAGACCTCCCTCCACCCACAAGGCACTGCCTTTTCAGGGACATTTGTCTAAAATAGCTTTAGGAAGCTCCTCATCCTCTCTCTCTAACTGAGACCTTCTTGATTCTGAAACTGTCTGAGGTCAGCTAAAAGCTCGTTGCCGGCTTCCCCTGTAGAAGCTTCCCCAGACTCCTGTGTGTCACCTTCCTGGAAAGGCCCTGCTAAGACATCTCTCCTGTTGAGTCTTTTCTTAGTCACAATTGCTTGAGGGTCAGTGGACTTTCTTCTTTCTTCTCATCCCCTTGTACATGTGGAGGAAATAAGTAGCTTGTGGGCATGAAGGACTCAGGCCTGGGGCAGAGGTGAAATGGCCCTCTGAGGCCATTTCCTTCTGGCTAAAGAGCAAAGGCACTGCTGTCTTTGTTCATGGGAAGAGGGTGGCAGACATCTGGGACATTTTTAAGATGGGTCAGGATCAAAGATAATACTCTCTAGGATAGTTCTAGATGTTGGCGCTTGTCTCTTCTGTAGATGTAGACTAGGCCATCGCTGTGGTTGGGAGGGAAGGGAGAGGACAACTCAAATTCTGACTTTGGGAGGCCCGGAAGGTCATTCTTGACATTAGGCTTCCCCCATAAGCGTGTTTAAGAATGCAAAACAGCTAGATCACAGAGGCGAGCAAGAGACACAGCAGGAATAGTCATGCAACACATTTCTTGAGCACCTACTATGTGCAAGGCTTTGGCAAATAAAATATGGTTCCCCTCTCATGGAGCTGGTAGTTTAAGGCTGACACACAGCCTTAAACTAAACAGACTAAATCAAACAGACTATCAGGTAGCTGTTAAAATCAAACAGACTATCAGGTAGCTGTTAAAATCAAACAGACTATCAGGTAGCTGTTGCTACAGAACCACCAACACAACACCAGAGTGGCATACAACCCCTGTTTACTGGGCACGTGGGTGGGGACATCTGTGTGGCTCTGTGCATCTTGGCTGGGCTCATGCGCTCTTCTGGGGCCGGCCGACGATGGCCCGAACTGAGCTGGGCCAGAGGAGCCTTCTCTGCTTCACATGTCTCTGGCCTTCCAGCGGCCTGGCCCGGCAGGATCCCGTGGGGAGGCCTGCACCGCAAGGGAGCAGGTGGAAGCACAGGGCTTCCCGGGGCCCCTTCCACGCCCGTGTATTGCCCAAGGCAGCCAGCCTGGACTCAAGGGACAGGACAACAGATTCCACCTCTTTTGCGCGAGAAGCTCCAAAGTCTCGTGGCGAGAGGCGTGGACGGCACGGAGGTGTTGAGAGCTAGTGTCCCTGCTGCAGTCAGCAACACAAACAAATATGGGATCAGCCTATTGCAGGGGCTATAAGGACACGGACGTGGTGGCTGGAAGACCAGGTGTGTGTGGATTATGCCCTCTGAGGATGCGAGAGAATCGGCCCCTGGAAACACGTGGGCCAGGCAGGGAGACCATTCCGGGCAAAGGGGTGGGCCAGGGGTGCTGCACAGGCAAAGGCCCCGAGGTGGGAGGCAGCTCAGGGGCAGCAGCGATGCCTGGCGGTGGGCCGGGGGACGCAGGGGCAGGGGTGCAGGGTGAGTGTGGAGGGGGACCAGGGCCCGGTCACTGAAGACCCGCCTGGCTGTCACAGGAGTTCACGGTCACTGGTTTCCTGTCAGCACAGCGACTCCAGCACAGAAGAAGGGTGTTGATGCTTCCTGTACTCACCAGTCATGGCCTTGCTTACACCCTGAAAGGGCCCCGAGAGACGTACGTTGTTCCTCTCTCTTTTGTAGAATGTAGGAATCCCCCAGCTCTGGAGGCCTCCCACGCAGAAACGTACGCTACTGTGGACTGAGTGACGTGACAGAGAGACTGATGTTTGCCTCGTTCACCTCTCGGAGCCCGAGGCCTGGGACCTAGCAGGTTCTGCACACACGGAGCGAATGAAATGCATGGACAAATGGAACGACCCTGGGGTTGGAGAGGGCCTCCTGGCCTGGTCCTGGTTCTGGCCCTAGCCACGTGGTCCTGAGAAAGTCATTTGACCTCTCCGGTCCTTGTTTTGCGAAATGAAGGGTTGGGACCTGATCTACATGACTCAGAACAGACTTTGCGAGTCTAAGGGGGTACTCGAACCAGGGCATCCATTTTATTTGGAGTGGGCGGAAAATTAGGTGATTTTAGAGATTTCACATGAAAATAACCATGAATATATTATGAAACAGAATGCGAAATGTACATGAATTTTTAAAGATGCAGTCGAGACATCAAAGCCGTCTTGTGCGTGGCTGTGGCAGGTTCCGGCTTTGCCCTCTGACTCCTGGGGAGCGAGCCTGCAGCTCTCCTGCTGTTGGCCTACTTTCGTGGGGAGGGTGGAGAAGCATGAGGCCGGAGTGTTCGCGTCCCTCCGAGTTACTCCGCATGCGGTGAGCTTCCACCCAAGCCAGAGGGTGGTGGCAGAGGGCAGGGCGTCAGACCCATCGTGAGTTCTTCAGGGCACAGACTGTCTTGCTCATCCTGGTTCAGCCACCCAGCATCCCGCTGGCCAAGGTCTGTGCTGCAGCCGTCTCCCACTCTCCCACAGACGACTGTGTGCTCTGTGTTGGCACGCATGGGGTCCTCCCCATGTGCTAATGGAAAACTGGTCAGTGTCAGATACACATGGTCCCACAGTCTAAAGAGAGACACATGCATGTAAACAAAGCAGGTGCTCCTTTTTTTTTTTTCCAGTCGGAGTCTCACTCCGTTGCCCAGACTGGTGTGCAGGGGCCGCCCCCGGCCACCGCAGCCTCGACCTGCTGGGCCCCGGCGATCCTTCCGCCTCAGCCTTCCGAGTAGCCGGAATTACAGGCACGCACTACCATGCCCAGCTGATTTTTTGATTTATCGTAGAGATGAGGTCTCGCTGCCCAGGCGGGTCTCGAACCCGTGGGCTCAGGCCGTCCACTCACCTCAGCCTCTTTTTTTTTTGAGTTGGCGTCTCGCTCATCGCCCAGGCTGGAGTACAGTGGCTCACAGTCTCACGGCCACCCCACCATCACCCTGCTGGGCTCCGGCCGTCCTTCTGCCTCAGCCTTCCAAGGAGCCAGAACTACAGGTGCGTGCTACCACGCCCAGCTAATATTTTGGTTTATTGTAGAGATGAGGTCTCACCACGTTGCCCGGACTGGTCTCGAGCCCGTGGGCTCAGGCAGTGCCCTCACTTCGGCCTCCCACAGTGCTGGGATGACAGGCTTGAGCCACCGCGCCGGCCTGGTGCTCCTTCGTTATTAAACAAATGGGTGACTCGGTGTCTCCACATGCTCCTTCTGAGGGAAGGCCTGTGGCAGATGGCTTCCCTGCTAGATGGCAGCAGCTGTGCCCACAGAGGTGTTCTAAAGGCCCATCTTAGGCGGAAATCGGTGGCAGGTGCAATGGCAGGTGCAAAAACGGACAGAGTGATCTCTGTCCTCTGGGGGTCGACAGAGTGCATGCATGCAAGTGGCTGTGACGTGACGCGAGACGTGACCGAGACGCAGCGGTGACGGGGACACCATGCCCAGGAGCCCAGAGATGGGACGAAGTTGTCAGGCCGGGGTGGTCGCGATGAGCTTTCTGGAGCAGGCGAGCTTGCGGTGGGGCTTGAAGGAGAGCAGGTGTCGCAGAGGGAGCCTGGGGAGCGGGCACTGAGGGCTCTTGCTGGCCCCGTGGCAGCGCCCGGCTGGATTTCAGCCCTGGCTGGCCCCTTGCTGGTGCCCCGAGCAGGGCGCAGATCGCTTAACCATCTGGTGGCTCTGGGCACAGGGGCCAAGGAACAATGCTGGAAGGGCAGGCTGGAGCGTGGACTCTTCTGGTGGCCACAGGAGCAGTGAAGGGCTTTGTCCTGAGACCACAGTTGTGCTGTAGGAAGCGGATCTGGCAGCCTTGCAGTCTGTAAGCACCACTCCCCTCTGGCTGGTGTAGACACCCCTGCCCTGCTTGCATCCTGTTCACGTCTCTGGCTGCGTGCGCTGTAATGAAGCAATCTGTTGGTGTGCATTTTCATCTTAAAACGGAGAGACAGTCTTGTGGGGCTCTGGGCCCCGAGGGCGAGACACGGCACAGGCATGCAGGTGGCTCTCTCATGTCTGCAGAGCTCCGGTACGCTGAAGGGTGAGGGGCTGAGGAGGAACACGGACTGCGAAGCTTTGCTCTGCTCTGGGGCAGGGATGTGGTGGGCTCAGAGACAAGAGGAGAGAGGCATCCTTGGGGTGCTTACGGTACACCAGGAAAGTGAATCAAGCCCGAGATTATGACCAGCTGCACTGTGGGGAAGCCATGCCACGTTTTAGGAGGGCCTGGCGGGGACCTCGAGTCTGGGGAGGGGATGGAGACTTGAGAGATCAGCAGAGGCTAAAGCAGAGGGACCCGGGACAGTTAGTTCTGTAACTTCATGCCCAGAGGCCAGCCGAATCGCCCACCCTCGAAAGCTCTTTGCAGCTCCTGAGGGACTCGGGACTTGATACATTTGGGCGGCTTCGCCATGATCTCAGCTCCAGGCATCGGCTCTTTCTACCCTTTCTCTTGCCTCCCTCTAGCTTCAGTGTTTGCCTGCGCTCTGCTCTCCGACCCTGGAATCTGCGAGGAGAGTCTCAGGCGCGG